ATCGTCAATCGAAGTTAATACAATGGGGCGGGATTAACCATGGAACCATTTGCCGTTTTGAAGGAATGCTTCTGCTGGCGACCATTTAATAACGCTCGCGCGGGTGAAGGTCTTTTACCTATACCTGCAGCAGCTAAAAATCGGAGACCGATTTTTAGTGGTGGGACAAAGAGGTAAAACCTGCCGCTCTCGGCACGTTCTCTGTTTATATTTCACCGGTCTCCGATTCGGCAACCGTTTCCGAAGCGTTAACCGAGCTAGCATAAATGTTTACATCGTTCTACCAATCACCATATAATGGTTTCATTCCTTCAAAACGGCAAATGGTTCCATGGTTAATCCCGCCCCATTGTATTAACTTCGATTGACGATTAATTTTTCAATCGCTTTCGAAGTTTTCCGCTGTCGGATTTCTTCCCCACTCTTTCCTTTTCCGCTGCCGGATTTTTCCCCACTCTTTCCTTTTCGGCTGGCGGATTTTCCCTCACTCTTGCTTTTCCGCTGCCGGATTTTTCTCCCACTCTCGGTTCGCCGCTCTCGGACCCAGCAGGGCCCCCTGAACGACACCCAGCAATATTTTTTCTTACACGCTATTCCCTATATACCTCGCAGTTTGCGCTACGGTACTGCTTCCCCGTTTTTTAGGGGCTCGGCGCCAAAATTTCGCTCGCCGGCTCTGAGCCGGATTCCGGCGTCGGAAATCGCAATGGGAATAGGCCATTTTTCCGGATTCCTACGCCCAAGCGAAGTCCGCGCCAATCTCTTTTCTCAAACACTCAGGCCCAAGGCATCGCGTAGTCCGCGACCCAAACTAGACCCTCCAAGTCTTATCTGCCTTCAGGCGCCAACGCTGTCATCAGCCACATATTTAGACTTGGCCCTCGAAACCCGAGCCGATGCTATTCTCTTTCGAGGAAGAAGCAATAAATCGACTGGGATAAGTTCGAGAGCCATCGAATCAAAGCTTGTCATATAATAATCTAAACTGTTTTTCTTCCCCCGCATTCCAACGCTCGCTACGCAGCCGAGTCCGTTGACAAATTTATTACTAAACAATACGCGTTCGCTGCTCTCGCATTCACCCAGGCAACGCCTGTGGCGTAGGAAAAACTCAACGTATTTTCTCACGCCAAGAGCAGTGATTCCAATTTTTCGACAAACCACTTAAAAACTAGGTCTTTTATCTACGAAACCCTCTACTAACCCTTTGCACTCGAGGCCTTTTGCGCTCGGACGAACCAGCAACTCGAGACGATTTCGGCTATATTAGAGAAGAACTTTAGGG